GAAAATCGAGGGTGGTGGTAGGATTCGGCGATTAACATATTGTGGGCGTCTTGAAGCGCAAATATAGAGATGTTGAGAGGATTTAGCAGTAGAGCACAGGACCATCTAAATGTTCTTTAGTTAATTAAACGCGTCCAGATTGAATGAATACTAATCTGATGACAATGCTAATCCGTAAAAGCAGAATAATTATTGATACACGATTAAATGGTACGAGAGCATGTTCGAATCTTGCGAAGCATTGTAATCTTCAAATAGAAAAATATTCACTACTATACTAGAGGAAATTTAAAAAAATGTGAACATGTTCTTCGTACGTTAAGAAAAATAAAATTTTTTGATATAATTATATGTCTACGATATATCAGATAAAAACCATTGAAATGTATATCTTATCTTATTTTATAAGAAATCGAAACTAATGTACAATGTGATTGCAATCGAAATTACTGTGAAACAATAATCTTGCAAATAGATACGTGTTAAAATAAACTTTTTGTGATACGTCATAAATATTTCCACGAATAAAAAAGGCAGTCTTGCAAGAATGAACAAATTAAAAAGCGGCGGGGAAATTATTGGTATACCGGATATTTAATTCAATTAGGGTCGCCGCGATCGCCGAAAGTTTCGTCGGAAATTATCGTTGAAAAAGAATCTTATTCTGCCGAATTTCTCATAGCTTCCGAAGAAAAGTTCTTAGATGTCTTACGTTGAATCGCGATAGCGCGAAAATATCACTCAGTTCTTTAGAAAGTTTGATGCTCTTTTGATCGTTACACGATTGCTTTATCTAATTCGAATTTTTCTATGTATTTATAATAGGTATATGTTTTTGTGTGATAAATGTATTTTATAAATATCAATCTAAATATGGGGTTTTTTAATGTTTTATAAAAATTTAATGCTCATTTATGTAAATAAGAAAGCAAAGACCGAGTTGTATTAACCCTATTCGCTCCAACCATGCCTTTCGTGTCCCACGAATTTCTAACAGTCGTTTGTTCCGGAAAACAAATGATCGTGGGAGAATCCCCTCCACGCCGGAAAAAAGTTATTGTGGCAGGGAACCTCAGGTAAAAATTTCAAAGTCCTAGCTCATTTACTCTCGAAACGGGGAACAATCAAAATCTCGGTGGGACATGAAAGTGCATGGTTGGAGGATTACGTCAGTGTTGTGTGAAAGGTAAATGAGCATTTTTTTCGATAAAAATGTATTTTTGTGTATAATTTAACCGTATTTAAAATATTTTTATCGTTAAAAAAGAAATTTAACATTCCACAGAGGTCTATTATGGCTCAGAGGCAGGTGGAAGAGGTGGGGAGGAGCTACGATTATATAAAAAAAATTAATTTTTTTATAAAAAATATCTGTCACACTTCAAATTCGCCTTTTTTTATTCAGAAATTCTTTTTCTAGCATTCTTTAAGTCCTTAAAGTCGTTCTGTACCATTTAAAAATTACCAAATTTGCGGCGACGAAATTAAGTATTCCTATTTAATTAATAATTATCTCATTTTTTTTTCTCATTTGCACTACTTTTAGCTTTAATTTGCGTTTTGGTTCATTAAGTTTCGTCAATTTGTTCGTGAGTTATGATTTTTTAAGTAAAACGAGTCGTAACGTGTGTTTGTCAACATATAATTGTTGTAAAAAAATATTTAAATAAATGATTTTTAAATGTTCTTTACATTGATTTTTAGTCGAAGGTACAAAGATATTATAATAATTTTTGGGGAATTTTTCAAAGCTATTAACATTATAAAAAACACGTGAGACTCGAAAGTGCATGGTTGGAGGATTATTGGGGCGAAAAAAACGTTGGAGTGAATAGGGTTAAATAACACATTTAATAAAATTATTTCAATATTTATCTTTCGCATAACATCCAATGTAATAATTAATTTGGATTAAAATGATATAGAGCTAAAAAACTTGCTGGCTATAAAAACAAAAATACACATTTTAACAACAATGTAAAACATTTTTTTTTTTTAAAGATTATGATATAACGAGCCACAAGATTAAATAATTATAAAAATAATCTATAAAATTCATTGAATAGTCCATAACAGCGTAATCAATCCTGAGGTTATCATTATGATGGTTGATACTGCATTGGTAGCAGAAGCATTACACAGATCTGTGTTGCATTCTTTACAATCTAGGATCTGGTGAGGATCTGCATGTTTACAGAAGTCGCGAAAACCGCAGGTACGTGTGAAGACTTTTATACCAAGAGGGTCTGAAAAAAAAAGTTTCGTTATAACAAACTAATAAAGCCTCTACAGCTTGCAATATTTAAGAAAAACATTACCCGATATACATTATTTTGTTATTTTAGATACTTACTGATACTAAATGTTATACATGCTCCATCCGTACATGGTATTACTTCCTCCGATGTCGGATCTTTTTCACAAGTTGCACTGATCACCGAATTGCAATTATAACACTTCAATGCCTCACCTTAAAAAAGACATAAAAAACAACAATCTAATAAAAATATCTTAAGAAATCACTACATTAAAATAAAATTAGAAAAGCGATTTTTTACATTCAAATTACATTAACTGTAACTATATGGTGAAACAAATTTTGTAAAGATGTAATTATTAGAAATTAGAATTATTTAATCATTCAGGTTTTAATATTAACATTGCGTAATCTATAGCAACTGTTAATTATTATCCACATTCTCTAGACTAATTTTATTATATAAAAAAATTACTAAGGACCTAAAATTTTTAATTGTATTAACATATAATATCAAAAATTTACAGTAACAAAAATTCTTATAAATTAACTTTTTAAAAAATATTTTGCTATTGTTATTTATAAAATTGTTAACAAATAAATTGCTGAAAATTACATTCACATTACGTACCTAAGTGAAAAATAGAAAGGACAACTACCAAAAATATAGTGAACACAAAGAACCGATTTTGCCCTGGCATTTTCGTTGCACCTTGATTTACCTATGTCCAATCGAGAACTGTCACAGTATACTCGTTGGCAAGGATATTATATAAAGTTTCACGATATTTGCTATAGAAACATAGATAACTTTTTTTACTAGATAAATTATCGATGATTGTATCAAGTTATCGGAAATACGATTTTTATTACTAATTGCTTTTTATATACGTTAAAAATAAGAAATGCATTAAGTTTAATTATTACACTTTTAACATTTTATAGAAAATGTTTTAAGAATTCTTTAAAAAAAAATATGGATGAATATTTTTAAGTAAAATTAACAACCACAGCAAGTTTTTCTCAAAGACAGCTTAATTCAGAAGTATACAACATATACATTTATTTAAACACAGGAATTGCGTAAGAAATTCTCATCACAATGAAATTTAAATAAATACCACTTTATCATTCAAAAAATGTTAAACAATAACCATGAACATATACAAAAACGATTAAGAAACTTGTTTTTATGATTAAAAAATTAACAATGTCCTTAAAAGACGCTTTGCACCATTCATGAAATCTTAACTTATAGTCATTTAGAATTAAACATTTATTACGAGCGCGTGTGGTCGATTCAGCGCAAATCGCGATTAAAAAGTAAATGTGGTGCTGATAAGCTTCGGAAAGAAATAAACGATTAGTGCCGCGAGGGATCGTTGCTCAACGAAACCTTTCTAAATTATTAAATCACGTCATTGTCCGATTATGCTCGTTTGATTTTACGTAACGAAAATCGAGGGTGGTGGTAGGATTCGGCGATTAACATATTGTGGGCGTCTTGAAGCGCAAATATAGAGATGTTGAGAGGATTTAGCAGTAGAGCACAGGACCATCTAAATGTTCTTTAGTTAATTAAACGCGTCCAGATTGAATGAATACTAATCTGATGACAATGCTAATCCGTAAAAGCAGAATAATTATTGATACACGATTAAATGGTACGAGAGCATGTTCGAATCTTGCGAAGCATTGTAATCTTCAAATAGAAAAATATTCACTACTATACTAGAGGAAATTTAAAAAAATGTGAACATGTTCTTCGTACGTTAAGAAAAATAAAATTTTTTGATATAATTATATGTCTACGATATATCAGATAAAAACCATTGAAATGTATATCTTATCTTATTTTAT